ATGGATGAAACTGGAGAATATTATGCTAAGTGAAATAATCCAGTCGGTGAAAGACAAATACCATATGATCTCACCTATAAATGGAATCTGTTCAACAAAATAAACTAACGAACAAAATAAACCACTGGCAAGGAAACATGGAGCAAACTGAAAGTGACCAGAGGGGATGAGGAAAGAGGAAAATGGTGGAAAGAAGGGGAAGGGACTAGAACAAAGAACATGTATGAATGGCCCATGGAAATGGACAACAGAGTGGGAACTGACTGTGGGAGAAGGGGGCGGGGTGGGGTGGGCGGAGGGGGGTAAAGGGGGAAAAATTGAGACAACTGTAATAGAATAAACATGATTTAAAAAAAATTTTAATGATAAACGAACAATCTAATATAATAATTTTTCAAAAAAGAAGCAAATCAAAGTTTGGAGGGAAGTCATCCAAGGAAAAATGTTGAAGAATTAACTTTTATAATAAAAGGTTATGAAAGGGTTTCAAAAATAGGAACACAAAAATACATAGAAAAATCTCCAGAAATTCTAGTAAAATAAATGCCTCTAGTCTAAAAACCAAAGGACACCAGATTGTTTCTATATCTAGATATCTAGGAACACTAAAGCATTAATATCTCTTAAGTTATATTTAGTAAGAAATAAAACAAAAGAAAATAGATCTTGTGTATGTGTGAATATATATTTACCCTCCAATTAAAGTAAATGTTTTTAATAAGTTGAAATGTTAATATTCACTCTTCAATCAAAAGAATTATCGTACCAAAATGTGTCATTAAGTGCTTACAAAATGCATTTTTGCAAAATGCAAAAGCAGTATCACTTTTTGTGAACCAATAAATCGAATTTTTACAAGGGGACAGCATATATAGAACCAGCACAAATTTCATTAAAATAATTGCCAGGGTCAATACTGTGTGGGTCCAAATTAAGAAACCTCAGTAGGAGACAGCCCAGGACTTCTATTGTGGCAAATAGATAGATACACCCCCAACTCCTAAACATCAGATTTCCTAGTTCTCAAGCAGAGCTCTTGACTGCACCCCTGCCCGCCCCCGTCACAGTGATGATTCATGCTGAGCTCTCTTCTCCAAGCCACACGAAGAGCAGGGAAATAAAGGCTTTGGGAACATGGCTGACACATGGCCGCAGCTAGCATACATTTCTCTGTGACATGTCAAAGTAGTATGTTTCTTTTCCCCACTTCTACCTGTTATCTTCTTGTGTCCTCACACTGACCCCAGAGTTTCCCAATCTAGTATCATTCCCACTTCAAACGCTAAACACCTGAGATGGGAAAACAAAGCTCGCTCTGATGCAGTTGGCAAATGACAGGACCAGAACGAATGCCTTCTCCACATCATCTATAGCTTCAACATTCTCTCAACCCGATGTTTTCATGATATCAAATTTTCAGCTAATAATCTAAGCATATTAACCCATGGCATCCCTATCCATATTGCCTTGTACAGAGATCACTGTTTTTATCAGTTCCTAGGTGGCATTAGCATATGCATGGTGATGTTCAAGATGACAGGTTCAAGATGACAGCATCTTGGATAGTTCTCCAAACTTTAAGGTGTGTGAGCATTATTTCATCAGTAATTTCCAGCCTTTTCCTCACAGCCCAAATAGGAAATGATAATATGTGTACAGCTGACCAGCCAGGAGGTTCCAGCAGGTCCACGTACACCCTGCAGAGCCACTCTGGGGCCGAGGGCAGGAGGAGCTCAGTGCCCCTGTGGCCCGTGTGCTGCTCTGCCAAGCCCACAGCTGGCAAACTCCAGTTTTCAGTTCTACAACTCCCACCATGTGTTCCCAGAGAGCCAGACACAAAGGCATACAAATCAGAGACGTAACAAAAGAAACAAGAGTGATACTCTCAGGGTCCAATCCTTATAGACAGCGGGGAGTTTTCCTTTCCTAACATGGACTTTCAGGCATGTCCACTCAGCGTCCTGTAGAGGCTGTGGACAAGTTATACCCCAATTCTGCCAGGTACTATGGTAGGAGCTACCCAAGGAACCAAAATTACCACAGTGTTTAATGCTGTAAATCCACCACTGTAAGTAAAACCCTAAAAAACTAATGACTCTTTAGGTTTTCCCATAGATTAGAGGAGATTACAGCTTGCTTTAACAGCCATGTCTTAAGACTTGAGACTTTTCTACACATTCCTACTTTTTAAAGGACAACAGAAAACATATCCAAAATATTAACTGTTTTTGGACCAACACAGTACTTATTATCACACATATTATAGTACCTGAGCAGCTTTGGGTTTTTTTTTTACTCTTTTTCAGTCCTTTTGCTGTCTTATCCCCCCACTCCCAACACACACACACACACACACACACACACACGTTTTTTTTTCCTGGATCTACTTTTTACTAAAGTATTTTTATTTATCAAATGGTCTTGGTTTGGGGGGAAAATATTTGTGCTTAAAGCAAAAAGCACAGAATGAACAACCTATTAAAATTCACAAGACTAATTTGTTTATTTAAATGTTCTGGTGTTTAAAATACAGAATTCCAGCCAAGACGGAGACGTAGGTAGATACACTTCACTTCCTTGCACACCCAAAAGAAGGACAACAACCAATTTAAAAATAAAAAACAAACAGAACTTCCAGAAAATCGAACTGTATAGAAGTCTGACAACCAAGGTGTTAAAGAAGAAGCATTCATCCAGACTGTAGGAGGGCCAGAGACAGGCAGCCAGGGTGGAGAGGACGGTGGTGCTGTACAGGGCGGTCCCACATTTACATGCAGATAAATGAAGTGGAACAACTGGGGAGTGAGACAGACTGTGCAATCCAAAGTTCTGGCATGGGGAAATACAGCCTCGAAACCTCTGGCTGTAAAAATCTGTGGGGTTTGCAACAGTGGGAGAAACTGTCAGTCTCACAAGAGAGTCCATTGGAGGGACCCACAGGGTCCTAGAACATACACAAAACCACCCATCTGGGAATCAGCACTAGACGGTCCCAATTTGCTTGTGGGTAGTGGGGGAAGTGACTAAAAGTGGGGCAAGAGCTGAGCAAGTGCCATTGTTCCCACTCTGACCCCTCCCCTACATACAGCTCCCTAAATGCAGCAATGCAGGTTGCCCTGCCCTGGTGAATACCCAAGACTCCACCCCTTGCAATGTAGCAGGCATGCTGAGACAAAGAAATATGGCCCATATGTAAGAACAGATCAAAGCTCCAAAAATAGAACTAAGCGATGAACAGATAGCCAACCTATCAGATGCACAGTTCAAAAATACTGGTAATCAGGATGCTCACAGAATTGGTTGAGTATGGTCGCAAAATGGAGGGAAAAGTGAAGGCTATGCATAGTGAAATAAGATAATGAGGGGACCAATAGTAAAGGGAAGGAAACCGGGACTCAAATCAATGATTTGGAACAGACAGAAGAAATAAACATTCACCTGGAACAGAATGAAGAAACAAGAATTCAAAAAATGAGGGGAGGCTTAGGAAACTCTGGGACAACTTTAAACGTTCCAACATCCAAATCATAGGGGTGCCAGAAGCAGAAGAGGAAGAGCAAGAAATTGAAAACTTATATGAACAAGTAATGAAGGTGAACTTCCCCAATCTGGCCAAGGAAATAGACTTCCAGGAGATCCTGGAAGCTCAGAGAGTCCCAAAGAAGTTGGACCCAAGGAAGCAAACACCAAGGCACATCATAATTACATTACCCAAGATTAGAGATAAGGAGAGAATCTTAAAAGCAGCAAGAGAAAAGGAGAGAACTATCTACCAAGGAGTTCCCATCAGACTATCAGCTGATTTCTCAAAAGAAACCTTGCAAGCAAGAAGGGTCTGGAAAGAAGTGTTCAAAAGCATGAAAGGCAAGGACCTACATCCAAGATTACTCTATCCAGCAAAGCTGTCACTTAGAATTGAAGAGCAGATAAACTGCTTCCCAAATAAGGTAAAGTTAAAGGAGTTCATCATCACTAAGCCCTTATTATATGAAATGTTAAAGGGACTCTTCTAAGAAAAAGATGAAGGTCAGAAACTATGAACAGTAAAATGATAACAAACTCACAACTATCAACAACCAAACCTAAAAACAAAAACAAAACAAATTAGACAAATAACTAGAATAGAAATAGAATCACAGAAATGCAGATCACATCGAGGATTATCAGCATGGAGGTGGAGGGGGGAAAATGAGGAAAAAGATACAGGGAATAAGAAGCATAAATATTAGGTACAAAATAGAAAGGGGGAGGTTAAGAATAGTATAAGAAGTGGAGAAGCCAAAGAACTTACATGTACAACTCATGGACATGAATTAAGGAAGGGGAATTCTAGAGGGAGGGGTAGTGAAGGGTAGAGGGAAATCCAAGGGGAGAAAAAAATGGGACAACTGTAATAGCATAATCAATAAAATATACTTAAAATACCATAAAATATAATACAAAGGAAAAATAAAATTTCAAATACAATAACATAATTACTGTAGCTTTAAAAATTAATCATTTTTCCATTCTTGTCTAAGGAAAAACTGCAGCACAAAACTGCAGTGAAAACAGAACTACATTTAAAACATAATTTAGAAAACATATATATGTCTTTTAAATTAGTAAGTAGAAAATGTAATTGTTGGTAGTAAAAGCCAACAAGAATGAAATACAGACATTTATATCTATTATGTTTGCATGCATCATAAAGGCAACAAAAAGTAAGTTTTAAAGTTTTACTAAACATGAATATAAATATATAAATAAGAAAAAACCTCCCTTTATTTTAAACTCAAAATTTTCTTTTATATTCAGTAAAAAAAATTTTACTTTTCAAATTATATGACAGCTGTCAATACAAATCCCTTAGTCCTTTAACATGTACTTTTCATTCCGTTATACAGATTATGTATTATGATTTAAAGTGGAACAGTTTAATGCAAAACCCGAGTTGCTTCCATGTAACGAGAGAAGACTTAAAGCTGGCACTGTATGGTACTGAATTGCAGCATACATACTGTACTGCCCCGTGCTGGTCTGATATATGCTAGTCGGTACTGCCATGGTAGCAATATTAGGTGGCGTTCCTTCTTCCTCTGATTTTTCTTCAATCTTGGGAACACCAGGCACATCAGAAGAAAGTTCATTCAGTATTTTTCTACAACAGAATTTAACAATAACAGAACAACTTAACAAATAATTAAGATATATGAAAGAGATTTAAAACAGAAAAGCTATAGTGAAAGCCTTGGTTTGATGTCTAATAACACTCACTTTTTGAAAAAAAGTATGATTATAGTGGAAACTTAACTTACCGATAGGAGGGTCTTCGTGAAAGGATTTCTCTACGTTTATGAGAATCAATTACACCTTCTGATTCTGCAGACTCATCTGTCTCTGCAATTGTTGCTACCTATAATAGAAGAGTTTCTGAAATGCATCATAAAAGATGTGATTTCCTTCCTTCAAAAAGTGCGACTAAGGGTCTCCATGTGCAGTAGTACTAAGCCAGGTGCTGGGAAGCACCCAGCAACAGAACACACTGCGCCCGCACTAATGGAGCTCACACTTGGCTTAGGAAAGGAAGCACGGACACAGGCATTTCAGTTATAGGACAAGCGTGTATGAAAGGAACAGTGCAGATAATAAATACTAGAGAAATGCAAGTCAAATAATGGCTGGAATGTCAAGTGGGGCTTCACAGGAAAGGCCTAAATATATGATACATAAGACCTCACGTCCCAACCCTGAAAATACTCTCACAAATCCAGCAGGAAATGAACGAATGACAGAGGCAGGAAAAAAGTCTCAATTTCATTGCCCTTTTCACAATACCACAGCTGACTTGAGCTGGGTCTTCAAATTAGACATTAGATAGGTCCCAAGAAGAAAGAATATTTAAGCAGATAACACAAGCCTGGTTGAAGTTAGGATTTATATTACAACAAGCTTGATAATGATAAGTCTTGAAGGTCAAAATAAGGAATTTCTCCTTAAAACAAGGAACATGTATAAAGGACCTATGGACAAAGCCAAAGTGGGGAAGGATTGAGGGAGGGAGGTGGCGGGGGGCGGGGCAGGGGAAAGTGGTGGGGGGAAGGTAGAGACAAATGTATTTGAACAATAAAAAATAAAATAAAATAACATAAAATAAAATAAAAATAGAAAAGAAAAGAAAAAAGATCAGTTTTAAGCATGATTTCATTTTTTTCGAGTCAAGCAATAATACAATAACATGATTATTAAACAAAGTCAGAGGACTAAAATTAAAAATCTACAACATGACTGCTCTCATTATATACAGCCATTTATCATTTAAGGCCTAGGATAGTTAGTAGTTTACAAAACTCATTTTACTTAATATTACAATTACATGGGAATTTGATTTGGGCAAAATCAAAAGAGCTTATTAAACTATGAACAATGTGCCCTGGCCAGTGTGGCTCAGTTGGTTGTAACATCATCCGGTAACTGAAAAGGATGCAGGGTTCAATTCCCAGTCAGGGCACATAACCTAGGTTGCAGATTCTATCCCCAGTCCAGGTGCATATGATCCCCAGTCAAGGAAGCAACCAATCAATGCTCCCCTCTTGCATTGATGTCTCTCTCTCTCCCCCTTCCTCTCTCTCTAAAAGCAATGAAAAACAAATATCCTTGGGTAAGGAAAAAAATATGTCAACAGTGCAAGAAGGAATACATACTTCCCAAGGACATGGATGAGCATACATGTTCACCTGCACATATGACAACACATCTCTGTTCACCGACACCCAACAAATGAGCATAATAGCCAATAAATAGAATTTATTAGAAAAAATGTTGTTGCAGTATCACTATCAAACATTTATCACTTTACATTGGGCTTTCATACATCTCTCATATAAATCCCAACAACCTCCTTGTGTGAGGCAGGCTGTTTATTTACCCATTTCAGAAAGGCAAAAACTGAAGTTCACACAGAGAGATTAAGGGACTTGTCCATCCTTCAACAGGTAGGACTTTTAAGACAAGATCCCCCATCATGTATCTGTACAAAGATAATTAAATCATTGTTTCACAAAATAAAAAAAAAATATCCTTCTAAATATAAGACAAAACTTTCTTCTGGTACCAGCTAGGTTAAAACTAAGAAATACCTGCACCCCAAATACAAGTCATAATACCAAAAAGAGAGTGGAAAGACTTTCTTATTTTATAATTAGAGTCAGAAACTCTTGGAACCAAGAGTCATCAAGTGGGGGGAGGGAGACAGTACTGAGAATTATTAAGACACGTAGTGCTGCACAGGCAACCAAGCTTTTACTGCTCGTGGCTTTATTACCACCCCCATTCTGGTTTTGCAATAAATTATACACAAATATGCAGGAAAAGAACAAGACTACAAAAAAAAAAAAAAGAACAAGACCGAATTAGTATATTTACTTTTTCCTCAAAGGTCTTTTTGTCATCAATTAGGCTTAATTATTTCTAACATTTATAGGACAATAACAAACTGACCTAAAAAAAGAGAAGTAAATTCAGTAAACACAAAAAGTACGCTTCAAGAAATGCTAAGGGTTTACAACCAACCTTGATAACAATAAAACACATCGCTGGATCACAACCATAATACTAATCACATCTACAAAACCGAGGTTAAAACTGAGAGGGGTACATGATGTATAAACATAAGACCAAGAGACAATGACATCATTATTTTCTATGGGTTGCACGTATTGAATTAAACATACACTTAAATTTCTACCCACCTAATAATGTGGGTATTCATGAAAATAGCATCAGTACTATAATCTTTTATATTACTGTGTTTATCAGACATCTTCTCCAAAAAATCCTCAAAATATTTTTAAGCACCACTGGAGAGCTCTGCTAAGTAAATCCCAGTTTGAGCAGAGAACCATTTGAAGAATTATTCATCTGGCAATTACTCATCCTGCAAATTAAAAGGTGACAACAAAATGGCAACTCTTAAGTCAGATCTATGTATCTAACAGAGTACAATGTGCTTCATATGTAAAAGGAAATTCCTCCAAATCTCTAATAAAACAACTTGAGCTTAAAAGTTACACAAGGAAAAGATGATAAATTAATAAAGAAAAAAAAAAGCCCAGGCTCGAGAAAGTCAAAGACAAACCACGCAGGAAGGAAGCTAACCTGAGCAGTTTGTATGTGTGGTGACTGGATAACGGATGACTGTGGTGTCTGAATTACTCCCTGGACGTGGACAGTCTGGCCCGAAGGTAACTGCACTAGAGTCAGAGCGGGGGAGCCTCTTCCGGTGCCTGATCCAGCTACAGAAACCTGCAGAAACAATCATCATTGAGGGTTAAGGCTAGAACTTTTTATTGTTTTTTTTGCTTTTTTAAACAAAAGAAACAGCATTACTACGATGACTGGACTATTTTTCCTGCTTCCAAGAAATAACAAGCAAGTTGGGGTCCTTACCATCAGGAGGTGGTCACTGTCCTGGAACAGTCATTCTCTGATGTGATAGATAGTAAAGAACCCACACCGCTCGCCTTTGGTTCCCATGCTTCGGTGGCTAAGAATGTTCCAAGCACAAAGTTCTAAAGCAGTTAAACTACCTCACAACTACTAACAGTGAAGTCTTATTTAGGCCAGAGTATAAACTACCCCTTCTAACTTAAGAGAAATTATAGACAGAACTTCAATGCGGTAAATTATTTTTTAACAAATAAAATGTTCAACATGATATTCTAGAATTACTCCAGATGCAATCTAATGCCTTGCCTCTACACTGACAAATCACAGCTACTCTTATGTCTCCCCAATCACTGTATGCCATCAGAAAAGCACTTTCATTAAAAGCAACATCAATCTCATCAGAAAACTATAAATATCGGGAAGCTGTCAAGCTCAAAACAACAGATGCAGGTTTTCCAAAATTCAAAACGTCTGCCTGAAAGCTGGAATTTTATCATTGACAATAAAAACTGTCAATTGTTTTCCTTGAAGTGACAAACTCATTCATTTGATAAAATGTTTTATCAAATAAATTCGAATAGCCAGTTTGGTTATTAGCCATTCTTTTGAGAAAAATGATGTCCTGTGAAAAAAACTTCACTAGTTCATCTTGCCATTCAAACAATAATTCGTGTTGGTTTTTATTTCCAAGAACACCATCAATCTTCGCATGCAGCAGAAATGCTTCCAGTGAATGTCCTAATTTCATAACTCAGAAAATGTTTTTAAAACAATATGTATTTAGACGTCAAGATTTAATACAATTGTTAATATTTACTGCTTCATCAGGAACATTCCTAAATGAAGCTGACTTTTTTTTTTTCCTACTGCGAGTGAATGGCAGTGAAGAAAACAATGATGACTATCTAGTTTGGTGCCACTGACGTGATTCCTCCTAAGGTACCAACAATTTACTCCCCATTGTTTTTGTACCATTAATGCAAATGACAAGACAGAGAAAAAAGGAGAATACATCTTAGCATCGGGTGAAAATAGTTTTATCCTCCCAAGCCTCCAGGAAGAGGCCTCAGACTCCCCGCGGTTTCTGTGCATCACACTTTGAAAACTGCTGCTCTCTCCTAACAGGGGCTACACCTGGCACACAGCTTGAAGAGCAGGATGCTGAGGCAGGCTGTGATTTCATCTCCACAGCCAAACCACCACATCCAATAATCTTGACAGAGAGTTCATATGTCAGAGATTGAGCAAAGTATTATATATAGTATACCCAAGAGTACCACAAGTATTCTAACAGACTAGGCCTGTGGGTTGAGAGAGCAGATAGTGCTCACATCCACTTTCTGTGGGAAAATGACCCAGCTTCAAAGAAATCAAATATTTTGAAGGACTGAAGAACAACTCAAAAGAGTTATGGGTTTTGATAAGTTTAAGTCATGCTTTAAGTTGTTTAAACTGTCTTTCAAGTGTAACTTTCAGGATTTTAATTTATTAAACAATCACCCTATCACAATGGCTTAGTGTCGAGATACCTGCTGCAGAAAAGGAGCTCTACCCACTAATGCAAAACTGTATTCCTGGAATCCTGGGGATGAGCTCTATTACGAAACTTCTCTATGTCCAAACTCTGGGTAGTGTAAAAGCTCAGGAGACAACTCTTTGACTAAACTACTGAAATAAAGGCTAAGCACCAGCACAAGTGACATACCCTAGGGTCAGAATTCAGATGTACCCTTAAAAACAAAAATAAAATAAGCAACAAAAACCCTTAGATCTAGAGAAACTATCAGACCTTCCATATTCTCACTACCGAAAGGGAGTGGCATTAAGTGGGTAGCATTAAGCCTTTAGTAATTGTGTTGGTAGAGTTAACAGGCTAAATTTCACCATTACTCATAAGAAAAACATTCACATGGTTCCCTACCTTTAACATCTTAGCATTATTTCATTATTATACTGATCACATGGGCCACAACTGAATACGTGGCACCCTTGAATCACGGTACACAGATGGCATGGAAGAAACATAGGCATTGACCGAAGAGCATGCCTGATGGCTGCAAAGGCAAAAATGGGTAAATAAGGAAGCATCTTTTTGTCTGGGGAAAGGTAGTAGATTCAATTTTAGGTAGGGCTAGGTTGAAAGTTATGGTAGGAGAGTAAGGGGGAAATGTTTAAAAGGCAAGGAAAATTGTGGGACTCGTGCTTGGGTTAAAGCTCAGACAGGAAGTAAATATCTGAGAAAATACTGACAAAGCATAATCTATAGAGTATTCTAGTTACTTTATTCACAATGTACAAACAGAATTCTAAAGCAGTTCTGGAAAGAGAGGGAAATTAATTCCTTTCTAAAAGATACCACTGTTACAGAGACATAAAATTCAGTTCATTTGGACTATAATATGCATACTGAAGGTAGAAATAGAAAACTCCTTATAAACATCAACTCTTCACTCCAAGACTTTCTAATAAGCAAGTCTCACAGAAACAAGGGAGGTGCCATGTGGACTGGTCTGGACAGTGGGGATAGAGCAGTGAGCGAGGAAAAGTCTCTGTTCTCCTAGATCAGGAGGGGACAGAAAACAGATGAAGAGACAAATACATAACCTGGGGTGGTGCTAAATCCTTGAAAGAAAATAAAGCAAGGTAAAATAGTCAGAGAATGACTAGGGAATGTGGAAGGAGGCTCTTTAGGATACAGCCGATGTGAAAGCTTCTCATCGGAGGAAACATCTGTGCAGAAAGCCAAAATGAAGAGAGGGAGAAAGCCATAGGAAGAACTATGAGTATATTTACCACATTCCAACAATCAGATAGGTACCTGCTCAAAAATAAAAATCATTAAATGGATGTATTTTGTATTTCATAATTTATACCTCTTTCTATGAGGCTCTGAAAGTGTGTAGAATGAACTCAGAATACACATAATTTACCTTTTGTTCCAGCTCCCCTGAATAATCCTCTTCTATGGGATGCCTGAAACATAGGTTATGCTGATGCCACCACATCCACCGAAAACCCACTACAGACCGTAGTTGGTCTGAAGAAATAAGTTAAGATGACGCACTGACAGCCTTACTTAGCTTTGCAACTTAAAAATAAATTCTAATAATGACATTTATAACTGGGAAACCTCATAATGCGTAACACAGCATCTGATTAACACCTAGAAGATTAGCCGTAGTCTGAAGCCAGGTTCCTTGTAGTGGGGTTTATGATGTCATAGTGTATATGCAAATGTCACATGTACTGAGTGGCACTCAAGTCAGTTAATAAAGAATGAAAAATTGTGAATTCACAATATAAACAGACTTTGCTATCAACTCTACTGCCTGAGAAATCACACCTACATACTAAAAGCTGTTTTAATTTCAAAGACTACAATGAAAATCCATTAACGCTCCAGGTAGTAAGTTGGACAGCTATCTTGATTTCTGTGTATTAAGACCAGAGTCTCAAAGAAGTCTGTTTCTTCTATGAAAAACTAGTGTTTAAAGAATATTTCAAACATTTTAAGGTTGAAAACAGTAAAATAGAGAAGGGAAAAGATGGCGGAGGAGTGAAAGGGAGTCACGCTGACCTCCTCCCAAAACCAAACTGGAATTGCAACTAAATAATGGAGTAATCACCTGGAAAGCAGTGGAGCGACAGTGGGAGAGGAGCCTTGGTGCCGCGGACAGCGGATTCGACTCTCACACATCCCAACGGGTGAGAATTGAGGTGGAGGCTCGAGAGGGTGGGCTGGGTGCCCACGGGCACTGGCACCAGAGGGACATTGAAACGGCCAGTTAGCGTCCCCCCGAGAAGAACGGGGTCTGAATCATAAACAGGAACCCCTAAACTACAGCAGCTAAAGCCGAGAAAATACAGACAAAACGCAACCCCAAAAAGCTTAGGGGTGCTCTCTGCCAGAGACAGGTGCCTGGGGATGCAAAAAGACATTTAAAGGGCAAACGCAAAAGTTGCAGCGGCAGCCACCCTCCTTGATCGCTGGGTAGAGGCAGCAGCAGGGTGGGCTGGTGCCTGGGAAAAGACTGGTGAGGAAAACTTTGTGAAGAGAACTGACACGGTGGCTGGTGGAGCCCGGGTGATAACGCACTTCCCACTCTGCAGCTACCATCTCGCCCAGGCATAAGGGAATCAATTAACCTGCCTTTTGTGTGAACTACGGGGCTGAGTGCAGACTGGCTGGGAGAGCCTTGAGGAGAGACTGGAGACGGAGGCATTGGGGAAAGAACGGGAGGAGGAACCGGGCAGTCCCGACTCCCTCCCCGTTCGGTAGTCTCCATTGTGGGCTGGAAAGGCGCGACCCCAAAGAGGCAGAAGCGGGGAGCGCATGAACCAGACTGCCTGCGATTGAAACGCAGTCCGCACAGGGGTTGGATCCTCGGCCGAAGGGGTCACAGAACTGCCCAGAGGCCCCTGAGGGGAGACTAGAAACGGAGGCATTGGGGAAAGAACGGGAGGAGGAACCGGGGAGTCCCGACTCCTTCTCCTTGCCGAAGTCTCCATTGCGCGGGAAGAGGCCACACCCCCAAAGAGCCAAAAGCCGAAAAGCAAACATAGACACCCCCAAAACACCCAGAGCAGGCGCGCACACTTGCGCCGAGTGACTGGCGAGGGTTGGCGAGCGTGTGTGACCCACGCGGGCTGGCAAACGCTTGCACCTGCCGGCAAGGCCTCACACAGACTGGCACCCATACGGCCTGCGAGGGATTGCACAGAGGGGCAAGGGCAGGCGTAAATTGACCTACCCGCCGCGATTGCGGAGCGACCCACAAAATTAGTAGAGGTGCCCAGAGTCCCTGGAGGAGAGACCAGAAACAGGATTAACCGGAGAGTCCTAGAGCTGATTTCCTCCCATTTCCGTAGTCCCCATTTGGCGAGGGCAAGCAACGCACCCAAAGAGCCAAAAGCGGGGAAAACACACAATAGAAGACCCTAAACTGACCAGTGCCGTGAAGCTCGCGTGCCAGGGAGGCCAGATGAGTACGGGAGGTCGTGAATAAGCCCCCTGGTCTGGGGCAAACACATGCGAGCCCAGGCAGGTGGGGGGACCCTGCCGCGCTGGGAACGCGCTCAAGGAGCTCTCGTGAGAGCGCAGAGAGATCCCAAAAAATAGCCCAACCCTGACCGAAGGGGTCACAGAGCTGCTCCAAGCAGGAGTCAGACACAGGCATTAGACTCCTGAAAGGCTCAAACAAACAACCCAAGGCCCTATAGGGTCAACAACTGACATCATCAGAGGCAAGCCCAGAAAGAAAAGTAAAGGACAAAAATACTTAACAGACTCTCACAAAAATGGGAAGAAAAAGAAGTTCCCCCAAATGAGTGGAAAAGGGGACTCCCCACAGAGAGAGCTCAATGAAATAGAGGCAAGGGAACTATCAGATATGGAATTCAAAACAATGGTTCTAAGGAAGCTCAATGAGCTCAGCCAGCTCAAAGATAACTATGAGAAACTGCACAGAAACTATCAGGATCTTACAGCAAACTATATCAGCCTGGAAAAGGACATAGAAACTATCAAGAAGACACAAGAGGATATGAAGAATATCATTTCTGAATTGAAGAACACAGTAGAAGGAATCCAAAGCAGGCTGGATGAAGCTGAGGATCGAATCAGTGAGATGGAAGACAAGGTAGAAAAAAGCTCCCAGAAAGAACAAGAAATGGAAAAACGGCTCAAAAAGAATGAAGAAGCATTTAGGGAAATGCAGGACAACCTGAAACGCAATAATATCCGTATAATAGGGATACCAGAAGGAGAAGAAGAGGAGCAAGGAATAGAGAACCTCCTCGAAAAAGTAATGATGGAAAATTTCCCTAATTTGAGGAGAGAAAGGCTCTCATGGATCCAGGAGGCACAGAGGACCCCACTCAAGAGGGACCCAAGGAGGTCCACTCCAAGACACATCATCATTAAAATGGCAAATGTCAAAGACAAAGAGAGAATCCTCAAGGCAGCAAGGGAGAAGGAGAAAGTAACATACAAGGGGGCCCCGATACGCCTAGGAGCTGACTTCTCAACAGAAACACTCCAAGCCAGAAGAGAATGGCAACAAATATTCCAAGCCATGAAAAGCAAGGGCCTATAGCCAAGGCTGCTCTACCCAGCTAGGCTCTCCATTAAAATAGAAGGAGAAATACGGAGTTTCCCAGACAAAAGAAAGCTAAAAGAATACATCTCTACCAAACCAGCACTCCAAGATATGCTAAGGGGACTGGTTTAAGCAGATGAAGGAAAAGAATGAGACAGAGAGGAACACAAGTACAAAGAGAAAAGATGAGTAAGTTTCTATCAGTAATATCTCTCAATGTGAATGGACTAAATGCCCCAATCAAAAGACACAGGGTAGCTGAATGGATAAGAAAACATGACCCACACATATGCTGCCTACAAGAGACCCACCTCAGAGCAAGAGACCTACACAGATTGAAAGTAAAGGGATGGAAAATAATATTCCAAGCAAATGGACATGAGAAAAAGGCTGGCGTTGCCATACTTGTATCAGACAAAGTAGATTTCAAAGCAAAGGCCATAAAGAGAGACCCAGAGGGGCACTTTATCATACTTAAAGGAAGAATCTATCAAAAAGACATCAACATTGTAAACTTATATGCTCCCAATATAGGAGCCCCCAAGTTTATAAGGAAATTGTTGGATGACTTCAAAAAAGACACAGACAGCAACACACTGATAGTAGGGGATTTCAACACCCCACTGTCAAAAATGGACAGATCTTCCAAACAAAACATTAATAAACATATCGTGGCGCTGAATGACACACTGAATCAAAGAGACTTAACTGACATATATAGAACCTTACATCCCAAAGAAGAAAAACACACATTCTTTTCAAATGCTCATGGCAGTTTTTCAAAGATAGACCACATGATAGGACACAAAGCAAGCCTCAGCAAATTCAGGAAAATTGAAATAATACCAAACTTTTTCTCAGACCACAAGGCCTTGAAACTCGAAATCAACCTCAAAGAGAAACTTCAAAAACTTGCAAACTCATGGAGACTGAACAGTACACTATTAAACAATGAATGGGTCAATAATGAGATAAGAGAAGAAATCAAAAAATTTCTGGAAACAAATGAAAATGAACAGACAACTGTCCAAAACCTATGGGACACAGCAAAGGCGGTCCTGAGAGGGAAGTACATAGCAATACAGGCTTACCTTAAAAAGATAGAAACATTTCAAATAAAAGACCTAACACTACAACTTCAAGAACTGGAGAAACAACAACAAATAAATCCCAGAGCAAGTAGAAGGAAGGAAATAGTCAAGATTAGAGCAGAACTGAATGACATAGAGACAAAAAGAACAATCCAGAGGATCAACCAATCCAGAAGCTGGTTCTTTGAAAAGATTCATAAAGTTGACAAACCTTTAAGCAGACTCATAAAGAGAAAAAGGGAGAGGACCCAAATTAATAATATCAGAAATGAAAGAGGAGAAATAACAACTGATACCACAGAAATACAAATGATTATCAGAAACTATTATGAACAATTATATGCCAAGAAATTTGAAAAACTTGATGAAATGGACAAATTTTTAGAAAAGTATAATCTTCCAACACTGAAGGAGGAAGAAACAGAAAGCCTGAACAGACCGATAACAGTTGGGGAAATTGAAGCAGTAATCAAGAAACTCCCAGCACACAAAAGCCCAGGGCCAGACGGTTTCCCAAGAGAGTTTTACAAAACATTTAAGGAAGAGCTAACCCCTGTCCTTCTCAGACTATTCCAAAAAATCCAAAAGGAGGGAAGACTCCCAGACTCCTTCTATGAGGCCAGCATCACCCTGATCCCAAAACCAGATAAAGACCCTACAAAGAAAGAAAACTACAGGCCAATTTCGCTGATGAACATAGATGCTAAAATCCTCCACAAAATGTTGGCAAACCGCATCCAGCAATACATTCAAAAGATTATCCATCACGATCAAGTGGGATTCATCCCAGGGATGCAGGGATGGTTCAATATACGC